GCTCCTTACACTATCCTCATTTATTTGGATTCTTTTTTCTTTTCTGATAGGGTGTTTTATGCTTTCTTATATTCCAAATTGATTGTTTGCTTCTTGGCTTTACCTACTGTACTATTGAATCTGTGTAAATCATTCTTTATTTCAGTTAGTGCATCCTTCATTTCTGACTGGTCCTTTATTATGCTGTTGATGTTCTTACTATGTTCCTTGGAAGTTTCCTGAAGGTCTCACTAAATCCCTTCAATGTCTCACCAAGTTCCTTGAGCATCCTTATAACCTGTGTTTTGAACTCTGCATCTGATTGCTTATCTCTATTTTGTTTATAACTTTTCTCGGAGTTCTGTTCTTTTCTTTGATTTGGGACATGTTTCTTTGTCTCCTCATTTTGGCTGCTTCCCTGTAGTTCTATGTATTAAGTAGAGTTGCTATGTCTCCTAGGCTTTGTAGGGTGGCCTATTGTTGTAGGTGTCCTTCTGCCTGGAACACCATGTACCTCAGATATCGGAATGGGGGACCACCTCACTGCATTCAGGTCTTTGTTTGAAGTCACCATTGCTTTGAGACCCACCTCGAACACATTTTTTAACATTGCACCCTCCCTAGCATTGCTGACCGAGTGTACCTTGCTCTACTTTAAAAACAATAATACCTCTTTATATTTTTAACTTGCTACATCATGTACTTCTTTATTAATTTTAGTGCTTATTATTCATCTTTCACCAGTACAGTGTAGGCTTATAAGAGGGTAGGATCTTTGTTTTATTCACTCATGTATTTCAAGTGCCTAGGGCACTTCTTGGTACATAGTAGGCAATGAGTAAATATTTATTAAGTAAACTACTGAAGAACAGTATGTTATTGGTACAGAACTAGACAAATGAGTGGAACATAATAGGTAGTACAGAAATAGGACCACTCATAATGACATATAATAGAGATGACAGAGATAAGTGGGGAAAGAATGGATTATTTAATAACTAATAATTTATTTTGATATGTGGATATCTATATGAAAAATTAAATTGAATCCCTACCTCATACCCTACACAAAAATTATTTCCAGATGGATTAGCAATCTAAAATGGAGATCAAAAGTTGAAAACTTCTGAAAATATAGGATATTATCTTTATAATGTTAATATGTGGCAAAATGCTTATGCATAATACATCCCCCGCCACATATTGTAAAGGAAGATGTAGAGATTTTTAAGCACAGTTAGACTAACCAAATCCACACCGTGGGAAACTCTGCAGGGCAAGTGTCCCTTGTTTTCTTCAGTGGATAAATTATAAGGAAAAGAATGGAGAGGGAACTTGTCCATGAAAATAGTTTATAGACATCAAATTTTAAAAACTGGACAAGACCATACAACGGTATTAGGATGGACACCTTGAGTGATAAAAATATAAAGCTACATAAGGAAGTGATTACAATAGAAGTCAGATAGTGGTTAGTTTGGGGGAAGGAACACACTTGTGATTGGGGTGTGATACAAAGAGGGATGTCTTGGGAGCGTGGCTAAGGTCTGTATCTTGACCTGAGTGGTGGTTGTCAGGATGTTCACTTAATAGTAATGCATAGAAACTAGCATTTGTTTTGTAGTTTTTTCATATTTGTATTTTACTTTGTAATACAAGGTTAAAGATATAAAATATTTTAAAGAAAATAGTGCTACGATATCTTCTTTGATGATATTCATATTGTTGAGTAGACAATTGTAAATTATGAAAACTTTGCCATAAACCTTTCTTTAAACACAGCCCCCCCCCCCCCCGTACACGCACACACACACTCAAAACCAAATAATAGGATGCTTAGGTTATAATAGAAGGCACTAGATAAAACATCTTATTGCTTCAATGAGGAGTTTCATTCTTACATCAACCCCTATCCTAAATTAAGTACCTCTCCAAAATTTTTGACGTTGAATACACAGCAGATCTCTGAGGCATTATTTCTGCTACACACTGCCCCCCCTGGGGGCCTTTGCCTACCTGGAACCGGGGCTTCCTTTCTCTAGCAGGGTCTTGTCTTGATTCCTGCTAAACATCAGAAGGGGATTAAATAGTTCTCTACTTGCAGCAAATATTTGGTTTTGTTTGGCCAAGATCATTTAAGTTTTATAAATTTATATCATGAGTATCTAGCAAAGAAATAGAAGACATAAGAGTCTGGGGCCTGCTGCATGGGACTGTAGACAGGGGTAGGCTGGCTGCTAATACAGCCCATCATGTACCTGTGCATAGAACAGTTGCAGTCCTCGTTGCTCCCATCACTGCTAGTCATTGTGCAACAAATCCTGCAGACTTCTGAACTTCAAGGGCCAGAGTTGCCTTCAGCTTGGCACACTGTACAAGTCCTGGATGTGTTTGTGGCCTTTTATGCTCAGTATTGCTGCCCAGATCACTTTTTACCTGTCCTTCTCCAGAGATTTCCTGTCATCATTCCTGTGATGGTTAATTTTATGTATCAATTGGAGCTGGCTAAGGGATGCCCAGGTAAAATATTATTTTGGGGTGTGTCTGTGAGGCTGTTTCTAGAAGAAATTAGCATTTGAACTGAATAAAGAAGACCTCCCTCACCGTATGGGTGGGCGTCATTTAATCCATTGAGGACCTGGATGGAACAAAATGTCAGAAGAGGGGAGAATTCACTCTCTCTGCCTGAGCTGGGACATCCATCTTCTCCTGCCCTTGAATATCGGTGCTGCTGTTTGACAGGCCTTTGGGTTTGGACTGGAATTATAGTACCAGCTTTCTAGGTCTCCAGCTTTCACACTGTAGCTATTGGTACTTCTCAACCTTCATAATTTGGGGGCCAATTTCTCATAATAAATGTGTGTGTGTGTGTGTGTGTGTGTGTGTGTGTGTGTATGCATGCATCCATCCATCCATCCATCCATCTGTCATCTATGCATCCTGTTGGTTCTGTTTCTCTGGAGAAACCTGACATAATTCCCTCATCTCAGGAATACAGTGAAGTAAAATTAATAGTGAATTCTTGTTCCAGAGACGAGGATACTCAGTTTTTATTAATACTCAGTAACTGTTCAGTTAAATTTACTAGCAGACAATTTCCTCGCAAACAGGAAAATGGAATCCAGCAATGTGTAACTCAAATAATCCATATGCTTATGTTTTTCTTTGAACTTTTTGCTTACCTTTAAAAAAAGTATACATTTTAATATTTATTTATTAATTAATTTTTGTTACAGATGTTTCTCCTTTTTACATTTTTTACTTTTAAAGTAATTTTACTATTATAGAAAAACTTGAACAGTGAAAAAAATATTTCTGTATTCTTACCACTGTAATACAAGTATGGTTATAACTTGGTATATATTTTTCTAGACTACTTCAGGATGAATATTTTTTCGTAGCTAGAATAAAAACATGCACAGAATTGTTTTTTCTTCGTACATTTAGCTTTAGGCAATGATGACATAGTCATAGACATATTTCCATGTTTCACTGTTATCACAACAGTAATTTTTTTTTTTACTGCATTAAATTTCATCATTTGGCTCTACTGTATTTTTTAACTGTTAACCTATTTTTGGTCTATTTCCCCTCACATTTGGGCAAATATATTTTTGCATAATATATAATATTATTCACATTGCTTTTTGCTTAGTGTTGCCCTGAATATTTAAAGTAGAATATTAACAAGTGTCAAGAATTTCAGTAAGCGTCTATCTAATTTTTCATTTATCTCTGTCATCGAATCTAACAAATCTAGTGATTGTAGTAGGAGGCATATATTAATTTGCCAACTGTTGTTCCACCCGCGATCTTAATTGTCTGTGACTTGAAAGTGCTGTATAAAACTAAAGTGAGGCAGTCGTCTTGTTTACATCTGGAAATTGGCCATAGGTAGCAGATTTGCACAGTTAGAAACTCATGGTAGAAAATGAGGGTGTTTTGGAGCTCAGGGAAATGCAAGTCATCATTTTCGATGTGTGGAAACATGTGCATTCTTGGGAGATGGGTCTTCGTTTTCATGTGTTCCAAGGAATCCAGTAGCTGCTGGGGTGAGCACCATGTTGGCTTGTTGCACGGAATGCTATTTTTGTGAGTTTCTTTGTTTTTATTCCTTCTCTGCATTTCTCCTCTCCCTTTTCCCTCCTTCATTATATTCAGTAATAGAATTCCAAAACATGTTCTTTTTGGGGAGAAGTGATCCATCACATGAGATTTTATGACTTAAATTTTTTTAAAAAACTGAGCACATATGTGGACTTTTTAATAAAATGCTTTGTCAGTCTGTGTTGATTTTGGGAAGTTTTCCCACTTAAATTAGTATTTTAGTGTTACCTTGCTTTGCATTTTTAAAAAAAAGCATGATAAGGATGCTGGTTGTTAAATAAATTTCTACTGTTAATACAAGTTATTATGTTTTAACAAGTCCATAATGAATCAAGTGTGGAAATCATTAATCAAATGCAGTTATCCTTTTACTGTGTTATTTGAAAAAGTATGAACTTTACTAAATTCATTAAAATGTTGGGGGAAGCATCACGGCATGGTGGTTTAGTGTTTTAGTGTTTGAGCTGTGCAGCCGAGATAAAATGTAAGGTTTTCTGCCCAGCTGGTGTGGCTCAGTTGACTGTTCTATGCATGAGGAGGTCACTGGTTGGATTCCTGGTCAGGGCACATGCCCAGGTTGCTGGCTAGATCTCCAGTAGGGGGCGTGCAGGAGGCAGCCGATTGATGTTTCTCTCTCATTGATGTTTTTCTCTCCCTTCCTCTCTTTGAAGTCCAGAAAAACATTAAAAACAAAACAAAACAAAGCAAAACAAAAAAAAATGAGACATTCTATGCAAATACTCTTAAATAAAATGATTTTTATATGTTAGAACATCTTTTGTAGGATAAAATCTTAATGATTTGTGATTACCAAAAGACAGGAACAACTTCTCTTTTCTAGTGTAACAGCTTATAAATGCAATGACAATTTTATTTTTGATAAAGGACTAATCATTATCTTATGTTTTTCTTAGGAATGGGTTGTTTCTGGGGAGCGGAGAGGAAATTCTGGACCCTGAAAGGAGTATATTCAACTCAAGTTGGTTATGCAGGAGGCTACACTTCCAACCCTACTTACGAAGAAGTCTGCTCAGGTAGGAAGAATTTGCTCCGTCATATTACTAGGAAGAACAAGGAAGGGCTTGTCCCTGCTGGCAGGTGATTGGATTGTTAAAATGGAAACATGGGTTTGTTGTTGTTGTTGTTTTGTGTGTTTCCTCAGTCTTCTATTTCTTGTTTCTGTAAATAGACCTGTTGCCCTCTCACTTTATATTTTTAGGAGGTAATACACTTCCTATGGAATGTACAACTAGCTTTTGCTGTAGAACAGTCACCCCAAAACTTAATCACTAAAACAATCATTTATTAGCTTATGATTCTATAGTTCACCAATTTAGACTACGCTCAGCTTGGCAGTTCTTTTGTGGGTCTCATCTAGACTCATTCATGGACTGCAGTCAACTGTTGGGTTACCTGGGGGCTGTTGGTTTAGGATGGCTTCACTTGGATGCCTGGCAACTGGTGCTGGCTGTCAGTTAATGCTTGCTGTTGGCTGGAATAATGGGCATGATGGGCCATGGGTCTTGGCAGGCTGGCTTGGGCTAATTCACATGGTGGTGGATACAGAGATTCCAGGACCAGCAAGAGAGGAGAAGCCCCATTCTACTGGCACCTTTTGAGTCTCTTTTGGTGTCACGCTGACTATTGTCCCATTGGCCAAAGCAAGTCATGTGGTATAGCCCAGTGTCAGTGTGGGAGGGGCTCCCCAGGGGCATGTGTACAAGTAGATATAAAGAAATTGGGACCATTCCTGCCAGTTTAACCACATGGGACAAACATATACAAGACATGTTTCCTTGAGGGAAAAGTATTAAAAGCCAGGCTATAAAGAAGGGATTGGCAAACTATGGCTTGAAGGCTAAATCCTGCCTGCTGCCTGTTTATATACAGTTTTATTGAAACATGGCCACACCCATTTGTTTTTATATTATCTGTGCACATGCTTATGCCACAGTGGTGGAGCTGAGTGGATGCAGCAGAGTCGTATGCCCTGAAAAACCTAAAATAGTTATGATCTGGCCCTTTATAGAAAAAGTATTTACTGACAGACAGATGTCCCTTGGCAGCTTCTAGCTGGACCAGTATGCTCTATGGAGTTATTTTTTTGTTTCTGGCCTTCAAGGATTTCCTTTACCTTTCTGCTATCTCAGGTAGCATTTAAAACATATTTTTTTCTTTTAATTTTTTTTTTATTTTAAAGATAAAAAATGTATATATTTACAGTGATATTTTGTACAGTGAAATGATTTCTACATTAAGCTGATTAACATATCCATTGCCTCACATGCTCTTTTTTGTTGTTGTTGTTGCAAGAGCACCTGCGATCTACCCTCTTAGCAACTTTCTCAACTATAGTCAGTGGGTGTACATTAGATTTCTAGAACTAATTCATCATACATAATTGAAAGTTCGTACTCTTCGACCAGCATTTCCCCCTACTCCCACCCCTGGGAACTACCATTCTACTTTCTGCTTCTATGAGTTGGACTTTTTTAGATTCCACATATAAGTGAGATCATGCAGTATTTTTTTTTTTTTCTGTGTCTGTCTTATTTCATTTAGCATTAATGACCTCCAGGTTCATCCATGTTGTTGCAAAGGCAGGGTTTCCGTCATTTTTAAGGCTGAATAATATTCCATTGTATGTATTCCACACTTTTTTTTTTATCCATTTATCTGTTAACAAACACTTAGGTTGTTTCCATATCTTGTCTATGATGAATAGTGCTGCAGTGAGCATGGGAGTTTAGATGTCTGTTCAAGGTACTGATTTCACTTCCTTTGGATATATATCCAGAAGAGGAATTGCTAGATCATATGATAATTCTATTTCTAATTGTTTGAGGAATGTCCATACTGTAAAACACATTTTTCAATTGATTTTAGAGAGAGGAGAAAGGAGAGGGAGAGACAGATAGATACATCGATGAGAGAGAAACATTGATTGGCTGCCTCCTACACAGTCCCTACTGGGGATTGAGCCTGCAACCCAGGCATGTGCCTGGACCTGGAACTGAACAAGTGATCTCTTGGTGCATGGGATGATGCTCAATGCACTGAGCCACACCAGCCGGGCGAAACAAATTTTAAAGATTATTTTATTCACCATCTTAAGAGTTCTTAATGGGAAGGGTTTATCTAGATATGTAGTCCACCATATTGACAGAAATGAGATATTTAAAAGATATATAAAAGAGTTTTGTCTTTTAAAAATAAAGGTTTGCAAAGAACTTACATGCATATATGTACAACCAATAGACACAGACATTAGTTTGGGGAAAGCAGGAGGGGTTGGGAGCAGGGAGGAGTGGGTCAATGGGAGAAAAAAGGGGGGACATCTGTAATATTTTCAACAAAAAAATAAAGGTTTGAATTGGTTTTATTTGTGAGGGCCCTCTCATCTCTCTGAGAGCACTGTGAATGAGGAGCTGGAATAGGGAGTGTATTCATTGATGAGCATGTTGAATGTTTTCTACAACATGAATTCTGATTTTGAAATGAAATTTGAGTTGTGGAACAATGAAAATATATAAATACATGTTCTTGTTTTTCTTGCCACTAGAGAAGAATTAAAAACAATATTTTAAAATATGTTTTAATTGATTTTAGAGAGAGAGGAAGGGAGAGGGAGAGAGAGAGAGAAACAGAGATGTGAAAGCGACACATCTATTGGCTGCCTCCTGCCCACCCCCTAGTGGGGGATCAAGCCTGCAACCCCGGGCATGCGCCCTGACTGTAATCGAACCAGCAGCCTTTCAGTGCATGAGACAACACTCCACCAACTGAGCCACCCCGGCCAGGGCAAGAATTGAAATATATTGATTGCTGTTGAGAATGTGAAATATCAAACAAATACTTTAATGGTTAATCTATTTTCTTTGCTTCTGTTTCAAAATTAAACAAATGCTTATGCAGAGTTATAAATAGAGAAATTCAAATGAACCCTGGAGATTGCCCAGGTATATCCTCTTACCTCTCAGGAATGGCAATGAATAGATTCCTTTCTGTAATTACAGACATGACTTAATAGACTAAAATAAAAGGTTGCTAGGAAAATCTTCAAATATCTACTGCTTATACTATTATTCTGCACCAGCAAAATGTGAATAATCAATTAGAATAGTGTGATAGCTTGTTTGCTGAGACTCATTCCAATTCAACTCTTCACTTTCACAATGATAGCATGCATGATAATACCCCTTTGTTGAATTCCTCCTATGTGCCAAACACTGTAGTAGGCATTTTTTGCATCTTTGCTTTTTTACCACCTAATCTTCCAAACAGTCCCATGAAGTCTCCCGGTTTTTGTCTTTTATAGAGGGAGAGTTTGGGCTCATAGAGGAAAAGTCACTTACCCAAGGACATATGTAGGAAGAATTTCAACCTCATTAGTTCTTAGCTCAAAGTTGAGGCCATTGACCATGGTGTAAGTCATCCAACTCTCATTATGTCCCAGTTATTCTCCATTTGTCTATTCACACTTCCCTCTACCATGTCACACATTCTTTTTCATGTCAATGTCTCTACTATACTTTTTAGTATATTGGTGTGCACTTTAATAATTACTGTGAGGAAAACCCTTGTTTAAGATACAGTTCATGCAAACAGTTGGTGTGTTATAGACCTGTAGCAATGGTGAAGTACAGATGCCATGGAGCTTGGTAAAGAACCGCCTATTAGATGTGAACACTAAGTTAGTGGTCGCATTAGGAAGCATGGTTGTCATGGAAACTTTTCCTGATTGGGACAAGGTAGTTATAGGGTCTCAGCCAGGCACAGAAGGAGAGATGATTTCTTTCCCCAGGCTTTTTTTGTTCTGATCATGAAAGGGAAAAACAAAAAGGCAGCTTGAAGCTGTGATAGAAAGGTCCCTCTGGCACAGACGTGGTAGGGCCTTCAGATCCCTGGGAATAGCAGGGAAGGAGAACAAACAAGGTCCCCAGCTACAGTAATTATGATAACCAGCTAATTAAAGATTTTTGACCGAGATGAGGATGGGGAAGACAGAAAGCAAGTTATACTAGTGGGGCCTCCCACTGAAGCCTCAGGTGCTCAAAGCCTTGTTGAACAAGTCAGCCCTGGAGGGGTCTGACTTGTAAGGGAGAAAAATGAAGTCTCCACTAAGATGCATGGTAATTGCTGAGGTTTCTTGTGAGAGAAATGCTGGTCTGTGCTCCAGTACTTGAGGTAATTTCAAAATTACTTACTCTTGTGTATGTAAAACTTTGGTCATAAGCCAGGAGTCTTTTGTAAAAGTATGTATGTATGTATGTATGTATTCATTCATTCATTCATTCATTCATTCATTCATTCATTCATTCATTCATTCAAAGAAAAGAAGCCTAAGGACCTGGATTGCTTGCCAAATTCCTTCTCTCATATAGCAGTATACTTGAGCCTAAGGTCCCATTTGGTTTCTTGGGGCAAGTGTCAGAAATAGAGGGATAGCGCTCAGGAAGGGGTTCCCAAAATCCAAAGGGCAAGCTTTACCACTCCCCCCACCACCAACCCATTGCATGATGACAAATGTCAGAGCTTCCACCAGCATTGCCTGGGTACAGATCAGTGGTCACAGGCATACAGTCAGAACCATTGGCTGTAGTGTGTCATGCCCTCTTCTAGTGGGTGTATGCACAGCCTCGGGATGAGCGAGTGTGCCAGTGTGTGCACAAATGTAAATTAGATGTGCATTGAGACAGGATGCATGTTAATGTCAGAATGGTTTTTCTCTGTGGCTATTGATGGGCCTCTGCTTCTGAAACTTGAGTTGGAGCTGTGATTAGGCTTGAGTTGGAGCTGTGATTAGGCACATAGAAAAGATATCCAGTTTCTAACAGACAGGAGAGGAGGGGAGCCCCATGGGTAGGCTTGGCTCTGTCTGACATGTAAGAACATTCATCAGTGACTCACCAATAGGTCTGTTCCATACTGGGTGATCTGGGTGCGACTTGAGCCTAACCTATGTAGAAGATACAAGGGACAACAAAAATTTGCAATAAAGTTGTCCTTTGGGGATGAAAGTATAAAGTAAGCC